GGGAAAGAGAGGTCGACCCAAGAAGGGCTGGGAACCAATGCCAAGGACTGGATGGGGCTTCGACTGACCAAGCGCGGGGCAGAGTGGAGGAGGGTTGTTACAGCGGCCTTGGGACTGGCTTGACTTGACTGGAGAGGCAATGGCTGAGGGTTACGTGGCTTGCTGGCCAGTGGCTGGAAGGAAGAGGTCCAGAAGAGCAGAGCAACCCTGAAGTCAAAGTAGAAAGTAGCAGAAAAGCAATGGAGCCGGGTCAAAGATGCCGGGAGCAGTGCCGTCTCGGAGATCAAAGGGATAAAGGGATATGCCATGTCGTTCTTTGTAACTCGGCCTGATCCCGTAATCGCGGCATTAGCTGCACCGAGCAGCGCAGCCCTGCTGATGTCTTGCAAAAAGCAGCTGTCAGGATTTCCAAGACCATCGATAATGGCTAAGGGATGAGTCTCCAGAGAGGTTTAAGTTGGAAGCAGACCGCAATCAAAGGCAGAGCCCACAACAGGCTGAGCTGTGCCGCTGCGGAGCAGTGATTAGGAGGGTGAGACAACTGGATTAGACGGAGAGAATAACGGGCAGCGGGAAGCCTGGTGCTGGTGAATGGGAGGCAGCGCAAGAGGACACGCAGGCCTGCCCCGAGCCTCTTGCCCAACGCGTTTGCCCGTGGAAATCTGCTCACGCCGCCCCTGCTTGGCAAGCAGCTTCTGGTTCACCTAATCGTACTCTTGGCAAAAGAGCACTTCATCGGCCCCCGAGGGCTCTGCCTTCGCATCGACAGGCGCCACGGTACCAGCTCCCCGGGTCTGTCGCGCCCTGCGTCTACTAGCCCTAACCAGGCTTCCCTGCGCAGCGTTTCTGGAACGGGCCGCAGCAAGCAGCTCTCGCCCGCGGTTTGTGAGTCAGGTTTCCGAGGGCTGCTCTTCAGCATGAATCTGCGTCAAATATTGGGAGCTGTCAAAATAGTCAGGCTTAAGGACTACCCCCTCCCCGCGCTGCGGAGGGGGCGGCGTGGTTAAAATGTCTGGGAAAACGAGGCAGGTGGAAGCATGAGCTATTAAACGATCCTATTTGCATAAGCTGTTGAGTGCAATCACTTTAGCAAAGTCCAGTGCTCCCCGAGGTACTTTATGGAGAGGGGAAGTACAAGGAGATGGAGTTTGGGGAGCTGGGTGAACTGGGAATTGCAACTGGTTCCCTGTTTTAGGAAGACGGGCTTTTTCCCATTGTAAAAATGCTCTTTAGTGCCTGGGCCCTGGTACTTAATACTGGATGTGGCGCTGCAAGTAGGGGAAGCCCTTGCCCATGGAGCCAGGCTAGCTGCGGTGGGAGGAGCGCGCGTGGCTCCAGTCTGCTGTCTGCCACGCACAGGAGCCGACAGTCGCCGTCTCTCTGAGCCGTCGTGGTTGACTTGGATGGAAACTCCTACCCAGCTTCATCCCTTCCCCTATTCGGGGTCGCTGTGTCGGCACGCTCTACCTTACGTGCTACACCCATGGGCCGCAAAGGCCACGTGCCTGCTTCAGTGCATCTACCCCCTCAAATAAACGAGCAGACAAGGAAGGAACTGCACCATTCATGGTTTATTGGGGGGATCAAGAGCAAGAGGCTGTCGTTGTCCTGGAGGCATCTGCCTGTTTGTGCAGCGGGGATGCCGCAGGAGGCCTTGGAGAAGGAGAGGGGACACAAGCACAGTCGGTGCGTCCCAGGCCTCAGCCATCATCTCAAACCCCTTGTTTCCTGCAGAGCAAAACAGGGGCAGTGAAGAGGAATGACCCAAAAGACTTGGCAAAATGCTTGACGTCCTCAGAGGGGCTTGTCCGATCAGACCAGCTCTCGCCAGGGCGCCAGGGGAAAGCTAGGCAGGGCACCCCATGGCTTTATAACAACGCTCAAGAACAACAGCAAGGTGTGGGGGTGCAAAGCCTCGCAGACCCCTTGCCCAGGCCGGCTTCGTCCGGGAGCAGTGTGTCCCACATCTTGCCTTTGCCCTGGGCTCCAGAGAGAGACGGAGGAGACCGAGCCCCTGCCAGCGCTGCCTCTGGAAGAGCAGCAGGTTCGCCAGCCCCGAGCACCCCAAAATAAATACGCCAGCTGTCCCCATTGTGGGCTGGGCGTACAAAGCAGCATGGCTTCAAAATGATGACCACTTCTTTATTCCCTTTCAGTCTCTCTTTTAGTTTGAGCTTCCCAGGAGCCCAGAGGGACACAAGCTTGAGCTTTCTTCTGTAACCAAGAGGGCTAAAAATGGAGAGGCTCTTCTCCTGAAACCTCCGGCTTGAGCTGAACACCCCCCGAGCTCAGGGTCCTGCCCCCCCATACCAAGGGATCACCCCATGACCTGCTGGTCACCGTACTGACGGGCGAGCGCAGCCTGCTGCGGTCTCGGGGGGGGGCGGCACTTGTACACGGCACGATGGGATGACGGGCTGGGCATCGGCTCATTAAACAAAATCACTGCGTTAGGATCTCCCTGGAGAAGGTCCCGTCCTGCCCCAGACAGGGCCAGGAAGAACAGCTGCACCAAGGGGTATGCTAGCGCCAAGCACGCACCCTCCCTGCAGATGGGAAATGGCTTACCGCTTCTCGTCCAGGTCAGTAACGATCCCCTGCAGAACAGCGTCTGCCACGTTATCCAGCATCTTCACGGTGTCCTCCGCCATCACAGCATTCGCCTCGGCAGTGCCTTCACCGACAGCAGCTCCTGAAACACAACGCCGTGGCATACATTTCAGGAGGGCAAATCAGACGTTACAGCCCTCACCTTGCAGAAGGGAAACAGTCCCAGCTGCGTGTTGGGGGGAGCAAGGCAGGAAACATTAGAAGGAACAAGTCCTGGCCCCTTGCCTAGGTGTTATGTTAATGGATCCAGGGCCTGGGAGGTCTTCCCCCCGCACAAGGCATCCCTGGAAGGCATGGAGTCGCCAGCAGCCCCGGACTCGCTGACAACTTCTGGGGTTACGGCCGTGGGAAGGGACAGGAGAGGATTCCCCCGCGCTGGACCCGTTTGGGCCACAGCTGGTGCAGGTCTGAGCTCTTCGGGCTGGTCCTGCGTGAGTGTAGGGATCAGACCAGAAAAGATGCCCCCCTCAGCTCAGAAATGCACCCCTCAAAATCTGCCCCTCCTGTCTATACCCAACGTCCAGGCTCTTTGGGGCTCTTTGCAATGAGCACGTGGGTGCCGCTGCGCAGGCCAGAGCCAGCACTCAGAGCATCCCTGCACTTACCAAAGAGGCAGAGAAGTGCCAGGCTGAGCAGTACAAAGGCTCCTGCTCCTTTCATGGCTGGATACTTGCTTGTTCGGTACGGAGACAGACCCTAAACGCTCCGGTCGGCTCTGACAGGCACGCAGCAGCCGGGCCCGGCATATTTATAGAGCTGTGAGCATCCCTTCCCCTCTGTTCCCGTGTGACCCTCCGCCTGGCACTGCTGGCATGGAGCGTGTTCTCTCAGGGCAAATTCAATCCTGTGGGAACAGGACCTGTGCACGCTGCGCCTGTTTGCTCTTCCATGAGGTGGGGGAGCACTTGCTTTGGGAGCCCGGGACCTGCAGGGTCTGTAGCTGGGAAACCCAGACCCCGGGTTCGAGCTGCTTGCTTTTATTTTCCTTCCTCCCTGTTTCCATACAGTCACTCCTGTGTCACTGAGTGTGTGTGTGCATGCGGGAGCGTGTGTGTGCACATGTGTGTAAGTGCATATATGTGAGCGTGTGTGTGTGTGTGCATGTGCATCATGTCCTGTAATGGGGCACGGGGTGGGTGCCCTGGGAGTCCTGGGTCTGACCACTAGTCAAACAGTGATTGCCGTCCACGTCGACATTTGGGGTTGTTAGAAGCAATGGAAAACCTGGCTTAAGGAACTGGGCTTATTTGGTCTGGGGAAGAGAAGAATGAGTGGGGATTTGATAGCAAGGAGGGTGGAGCTGGGCTGGTCTCAGTGGGGGCAGATACAGGACAAGGAGCAATGGGCTCAAGCTGCAGCAAGGGAAGTTGAGGTTGGATAGTAGGAAAAACGTTCTGACTAGGAGGGCAGTAAAACACTGGCATGGGTTACCTAGAGAGGTGGTGCAGTCTCCATCCTTGGAGGTGTTTAAGGCCCAGCTAGACAAAGCGTCTGGGATGATGCAGTTGGGGCTGGACCTGCTTGGAGCAGGGGTTGGATTAGATGTGACCTCCTGGGGTCCCTTCAACCTTCATCGTCTGTGAGTCTATGACTTTCCTAATATCCAACCTCAACTTCCCTTGCTGCAGCTGGAGCCCATTGCTCCTTGTCCTGTATCTGCCCCCACTGAGACCAGCCCAGCTCCATCCTCTTTGCAGCCCCCCTGCAGGGAGGTGAAGGCTGCTATTCAATCCCCCTCGGTCTTCTCTTCTGCAGACTCAATCAGCCCATTTCCCTCGGCCTCGCCTCACCAGTCCTGTCCCCCAGCCCCTAACCATTTTCATGGCCCTCCACTGGACTCTCTCCAATGTGTCCACACCCTTTTTGTAGCAGGGGGCCACAGCTGGACACAGGACTCCAGATGTGGCCTCCCCAGTGCTGAATAGAGGGGAAGAATCACTGCCCTCCATCTGCTGGCAGCGCTCCTCCCAGTGCAGCCCAGGATGCTGTTAACCACCTTTGCAACAAGGGCACACTGGCTCATACCCATTTTACTGCCCACTGCCACCCCCAGGTCCTTTTCCTTAATAAAAAGCCGCACAATCATCCCTGCCTGTGTGCACTGTAGGGACACGATGCAAGGTAGAGACTGATACTTCGCGTGGCCTGCTGAGTTGAAATCGGCTTGCAGAGCTTTGTGTAGTTGCCCCATCCCACCTGCATTTAATGCCCCCTCTCACTATTGCTCATGAGACTACAATGCGCCGTGGGAGTTTTGCTTCTGCGGGAGCCTGAGGGCAGATGCTGTGTACTGAGCACCAGGGCCACGTCCCTCAACACAGCCCCTCGGGGCCGTGCCCGCATTCAGTCCTGCTCTGGCTTTGCATATCCGTGTGCAGCGACGTGGAGCCCCCACGGCAGGAGCAGGGTGTGCAGGCTGCCTCGTGATCCCGTGATGAAACGGCTTCACCTCGGAGCTTCAGAGCCGCGAGTTAAGCCCTCGGCATCGCGGTCAGGCATCCCACGGTGCCTCGCTCCACGGCTGTGGGGTCTGCAGGCTGGGACGTCTTCTGTGGCACCTGTTGGAGGGCAACAGCATCCTTGAGTTTAGGGTCAATCTTATTCCTTGTTTCATCCTCTTATTATCATCATCGTTTCTATTATTATTGCTAACTGCGGAGTTCAAAGCCTCATCAGGCATCACGGAGGAAGCAATCTCCATCACTGTGAGTCTCCCGGTAATTAGCTAGCCTTTCAGTGGTCTTAAAGTTAGGCAATGACTTCATTATAAGGTTGATCATTTATTTAGTTGGTCTAATCAGAGATATCACATGGATCCAAAGAACCTTGTCTGCCTTATTTCCTTAGGCCAACACGGCTACAGCCAACACTGCTGGGGCTGACAAGGGCACGGGAGATGCGTGTCCCGGAGAGGGTGTGGGACGTGCCGCGAGAGCGGCGGGTCCCCGAATGGCTGATAGTCGCCGGTCGAGTTGCTTCTCCAGCGGCCCCTCCACCACGTCCCCAGGGTCCAGGTTTCAGCAAGACGAGAGAAGGGAAGCCCTTGTAGATGGGGCGGGTGGAAGAAGAGGCAAGTTATCGAAACAGATACGTCCCCAACGAGATCCTGCTGCAGCTGCCAGACCCCCCATGGGGATTTTTTGGAACACGCCTTTTTTTTTCCCTATGTGAAAAGCAAAAAAATTGCTGCTTTTCTTTCCTGACATGAGTGAGAGGGCTGCTCTTGTCAATTCATTTCAAATGCTCATCTCTCATAAGGATATGATTTTTAAAAAAACAACAAAAAAACCCAATTGAAAAGAGAAAGTAAAAAAAGAGAGAGAGCGACCCGTAGAAAGACTCCTTTACAAGAGAGCTGCCTGGTTCATCTGAAAAAGATAAGCACTGCATGGATATTTAATAAACCTGCTTCCGGAGACGCAGCGGGTGGTAATGCTTCGTATAATGGCGCTGTTGGCAGCCTCAGACTCTACATAATCCTCTTTTTCCTCTAATTGTCATGAGCCTGGAACGCGTCTCTCTCTTCTCGGCGGCCCCCTGAGGGGAAATCCATGCTCAGAAGAGGGCGGACGGGGCTGCGTAGCCAGCGGTCAGCGTGGCTCCAGGCCAGGTCTCTTCAGGCGTGTTGCTTTTCACCCTCAAAGGGGGATTGGAGAGTTGCTTCCTACCAAAAACACCCTAGGAACAGGCGGAGCGGCTGAAACCACCCAGCCGTGGCCTCACGGGAGGGCAAACCGGGTGACCTCCTGCGGCCCCACACTTTAGGGGTCCCACTTTTTTGGGAGGGGATGTAATTCTTGCAAGGAAATGGCTCTAATTGCATTTTAACACTCGGCTATTTATCTAATTCCCCCAAAGAATATTAAAAAGCTCCACAGTACAACTGTGGTGGGTTAATATTGACCTGAGGACATACCGCTAATGACTCTCTTGCCCTAAGGCCACCACTGGAGCCACCAAGTGCCAGCAAGGCAGCGATCCCGGTCCCGAGGCCCCGTGTCCTTCAGGTGAAACGGCCAGCTAGGCTGGATTTGCTCGGGCCCTTCGGGAACAGGCAGACTGTGAAGTGAATACGGAGTCCAGGTGCTCCACGTGCATTACTTCAGGTCACCCAACTTGGCCCCCTCCTCCATTTCATGACGATCCCTCACTTCAGTGCCATGTAAGAGTTGCTATTTCCAATCCGCTTAATGTTCGCCAGGCCTGAGCTTGTACTGTTTTAGTTTCTTAACCAAAATGCCCCTTTCCTTGCCTGGCAGCCTCACTGGTTTTGCTGGGCGGGAGACTGAGTGCCTGCATGCAAACTCATAAGGAAATGCAAAAGGGAAAGAAGAAGAAGAAGCAGAAGAAGGGGAAGAAGAAGAAGAAACAGCAGCAGCATCAGAAGAAGAAGAAGAAGAAGAAGAAGAAGAAGGTCTGTCTGGCAACGCTGCTCGTGGGCTGAGCCCAGAGCCGAACGTCTCCATGGACTGCTGGGGCCGGTGGTGTGTGATTGGTATTGGTACGTGGGTGCAGGAGCTGGATGGGCAGAGGCAGAGTTTAGGCTGCTCGGCCCCTCCTGGTTTCTGGTCTGGGTTCGTTTCAGGGGGATCTTGCCCAATTGCAAACCCCATTTCTGCACAGGAAAGGGTTTCAACCTGCGGGCCATGGACCCCGGGGGTCTGCAGGCTATGTCTAAGAGGTCCGTGAAAGAGGACTACGCTCAATCAAAGTATGTGTGAATGCCCACACTTAATCAAAAGAGCTCCATGCCACCATTCAAAACTTGCAAAGGGGTCCGCAAATGAAAAAAGGGTGAAAACCACTAGTCTGGGCCACTCTGCAGTGCCCCTCACAGCGAGGGAGAATAGGGCCGAGGGAGTCTTTATTTTGCACGTGCTTATGCACACAAATGTACGCACGCACACACCTCAGTTTAGCGTGACTTGGTCTGTTTAAATCCCGACCCCGCCGACCCATTTGTGAAATGGCAGGTCATTTTAGGCAGGCTTTGTTCCCAGTTCCCCTTCCCCCCGAGCTCCCTTCTCTCCCTCCTTGCAAGTGAATTGCAAGCTGCTGATTATATCCCTCCTCGATTTCTGAGCCCCATCAGTCACAAAGGGAGAAACTCCAGAAGCCCAGGCTGCAGGAGTCCTTTGTGCTAATAAAAAATAAAGGCAACCGGCACCTGCGATGCTGAATACGCTTTATTAAATATGCAAATCTGGGGGCCGTAGCATGGACAAAGCTTCTGGAGACCGGCAGGCCACACGTGTTCAGACTGCACAAGTAGCTTTATACTGCACGCAGGGAAGGGAAGGGCATCTATTGTCCAGCACTCTCCAGTTTGCAAAGACCTCATTCATTTTGCCTGAAAAGAAAAGAAAGAGAGAGGGTGGGTTTGGGGGATGTTTATAGCAGAACTAGTCCTGCAGCGGTCCCCGGGGTAGGACACGGCTGCCCGTTCACTGGTTAGTCAACCTCTTTCCTCCAGGGCAACGAGCAACCTTTGGGGTCGTCTCGTGCTGCGCCAGGATGTCGGAGCACGGCTCCCCCCAGCAGCGCTGAAGCGGGGGAAGGAGCCAGCAGCGAGCGTGGCTATCTGCTGCGGGGGTGGAAAGCTGTCAGGCATGCGATTAGTAGAGCTGAGCACCACGTTATGCCTTGCTTTACAGAGAATCATGAGCCGATGGCACCAGGGGCTCTTCCCGCAGCGGTGGGGCAGGCCTCCAA